TACCCATCCCTACATGTAATGAATAAGTCTGGATATTTTATTCTGATGAGTATGGATAAGATGTCTGATTGCAAATCACAGTCAAATTAACAACATGCTGCCGAGTCGTGTTCTTCTCTTGGTGCACTGTGGGTCCTCGGTATCGACTAAACATCATTTATATTCCAAAAGCTGATCACGGCGCTCAAATCATCCATACTGGTAAACTCGAATTATTCAAACTACGTAGAGATAATCCTGCAGAAAAACATTTCTTTCACAGTATCACTGTCACAGGCTTTTGCTTTGTTGTTTTCGATTGGTTGTAAAAATGAGGCAGCCTGTGGGCGGATGCCAGCAGAGCGAGAGAAACTTTCTGCTGGGATCTGACGAACATTGGAAGGATTTTTGTCTGTTTCTGTTGTGCTCCATGCACAAGTGTTAAAATAGGACGGGGGACAGAATGAGGCTGTCACAGTTACCCGGGTTACAACGGGTAACTGTATGACTCTCATATGGTCTGCAAATCACTGGTTCAATAAACCAGTCCTTACACTGAAAATGAAAACTGCACAACCCGCCCTAGTTTCTGATTTTACTGGTCTGAAAATGCACATTTGTTCAGTTCAAAAAACAATAACCGTTTCCTGATAGGTAGTCGCATCCGTCTCTTGGCACTCAGCCACGGCGTACTGTGTGCCTGCGAGTGTGTGTGAATGAATGTGTGTGTTTGGTTTTCATGTAGAGCTCCTATGAAACATGGATTAGGTCTTTGTTCCTGTCTGGTAGATCAAAGCCTTGTGGTATTCTGAGAGCAGCTCTCTTGTTGTGGCGAGTTTTCATTTCTGTAGCCTTTTGCCTTTGCTGTGTGTGTTGGCCTGTGTGAGCCTGCATATCTTGTGCCTCTTAGTGTGGGGGCATTCCAGTGTGGGCCACTGCTTGTAAACCTCACTTTGGATCTCGTTATTACAGGTTTATGAAGAGGGATGTATTTATTTACACTCATTACTGTGTGTTTGCATTACTGCAGGGTTTGCATTTACCAAAAATTGTGCAGCATAGGACAGGAAAAAATCCCGGTGGGTTTCAAACTCCAATGTTGAAGTTTGAATAGTTCAGACAGCGTCTGGGCTGTAACAAGAGGCCTGAAAGTAAAGGAGAGCATGCTTCAACTAATTTTTCCCCCCCAGTAGTCTGTAATCCTCTCTGTGATCTGTATGTATCAGCATTTTCAGCTCAGTGCTGCAGATAGGAAGGCTGCAAATGCAATAGCAGTATCTTGTCACTGGAGGGAGCCATAGTTGCATTTTAAAAGTAGCAGCTCCGCACTCGTCCATGCAGACACATCATCCATACAAGGATTAAAGACGTTCAGTAACAAAGTTGTATTTATTAACATATGGGAATGAGCTCGTGAACGGTCAGGTCAAATCTTATCATCACTACAGCTTTGTGCAGACGAGTCAGTGCAGTGTTTTCTTCCAGTGCTCCGGGGAGCGTACAAAATGCTTGTCAGTCTATTGGTACAAAAAGCATTGAACATTCAGTTAAAAACGGTTAGCCCTTTCATGTGTGTCTGCTTGCTCTTCCTTGAAATTCATCTCAAATGCATCTTTAAAAACCCGAATACATTTGTTCCTATCCACTGACTGCAGAACTGACACTGCTAACACTGAAAATAATAAAAACGAGACAGATCGTAAAATTGTGCTTTGTGAAAAGTAAACAGGTGGTTGAAAAGTGTTTATATCAAAATGACAAAATGACAATTTCTTTATTTCCAGTGTAATTTTGTGTGACGTTTGTGTACGTAAAAGAAACACATGGCAGGGTGACAGTTTTTGACGTTTAACTTGCCAAATCCTTGCTTTCTTCTTTTTCCTTCTTTGATGGCAATCTTTGGCTCAGTCACCATTTTAAACTCACCAACTGCAGAAAATCGTCTGTCATGTCATATCCTGCTCCTCTTTTTCTTCCCCTCCTAGACTTTGTACTTTGTTGTCCTTGTGTTGTTTCTGGCTCTTGTTAGCTGTGCCCTGACCTCTTCGGTTCATTATGTGGAAGAGGAGCAGGAACAAGGCAGAGACAATGAGAGACACCCCTGCCATGAGGAAACCTGTCCCATAATCACTCATCTTGTCAATGAAGAATCCTAAAAGGGAAAGTAGAAGTGAGACAACATCTATTCATCACTGGAATTCACCTGTGCTGTCAAAAAACCAACAAACACAACAATGTTTAAGCTATGTTGTTGTTCATGAACAAGCAGAGGACTAGGGATGGGTACCGGTATCCGGTGCCGTTCTGTCATAAACGGTAGTAACCAAACCGAAAAGCAGCGCACATTTCGGTGCATTGAGGTAACACCTCAAATCTGATGAAACACCTGGCGACACATAGCGTTTTTTTTAAAAGCCGAGAAATGCGCCGTATTTGATAGCTTGCTGCGAGACCTCACACCGAGCACATCTACTGCGGGTGTGGTGCCTGTTATCGGACCCGGAGTTAGCAACATCCCCCAAAAACCCGAAGAGGAGAGTCCTGGCCCCTAGCCCTGACAGTGTAGCAGAAATGATGAGGATGATGATGCAGCAGCAGCCGTTCTTCTCTGCGTGAGTAGCTTAATGTTGTTCGTGTGTAATTTACGTTGAGTAGGCTAACCACGTTATTACATTAATGCATGTAAGGTGAACTAGCAAACACCATCATAGTTACATGCGGCTGTCTTCTTGTTTGATGGCAGATACTCCCTTCACCCTGGACAAAAAGGCTAAAATGACCAAAGAAAAAGTGGAAAACAGTTAAACATGAGAGGTTTTTGGACAAAGTTTGTGTTTTTTCCATTGTTTAAGCACTGCTTCCAGCCAAGAGTGATACCATATATGCCCCATAGCTGCAGAAAAGGCTAACATTGTTATCTTTTTACAAAAAAACAGCTGAACATGAGAGGTTTTTGGACCAATTTTGTGTTCTCCATTCTTTAAGCACCGGTTTGAGCACCGTTTAAGCACCGGCACCATTTCAAAAGTACCGGTTTGGCACCGGTATCGGATAAAACCTAAACGATACCCATCCCTACAAAAGACCGAGGCAGAAATTGGATTGCACTAACATTCGGTTCATCCTAAGGCAATGAAGCCAGCGACGCACATGAAGGAAACATAAATAGAATCTTTGATGCATCGTCAAAATCCATCAAGTCTCCGGTCATGAAAGTAGTAGAAGTAGTTAGAAATAGCCTCTGTGTCAGAGGAACCATGTTGAGTTAAAAATAGGACACCACTGGCTATATTTGCATCTACTTCACTTCAATGAGCATTTAACTACATTTGAGATCAGTTTCAGCCTCGAGCGTGTTCTTTAATTCAACATTTAAATGTGGGGGTGTCACTTTTATCCAAATTAAGAGATTTTTAGGGAGTTAAATAAATTTAAAAAATCCTTTAAATGTCAGCAGGAAAGTAAGAAACTGGGGGAGGACTGAAAAGTATTTGTTGATATTTTTCTATGCAACGTTTTCTTTTGTTTAAAGAAAAACCAAAAAATCAAATAACCATAAATCGTCCACCAAAGGGAGCGTATCTGTCTGTCTGCACGCCAAATCACACCGGATGTTTTCTAATCTCTATTAACTGCTTTTCTTTAGTGTTGTGTGTGAATGTGAGTCACAACCTCCATAATCAGGTTAAATCCTCGCTGATTTGGGAGGCGGGGCTCATGGTATGTGTTGGTTTGCACAGAGAGAGGAGCAGAAAAACATTTTACTGTAATTTAGTTCAAGAAATGCCTTTTTAATTAAATTTGCAGACAGATTACTGGAGATGTATGATGGCATATTCGCAACTCGTTTAAATATATCTTGGCAAGGTGGTGAGATGAAATAGCTGAAAAAAGAACACACGCACTTCCAGTTAGGCGTCTATTTGCCATTTGTCATCTCTTTGCTCTTTTTTTCTGCTTTGCATGCATAGTTACTGCAGCTGCTGTTGCAATGCAGTGTAACAGAAGGAAGAGCCTCTCTTTAACAAGAAAAATACATATTTGGAAGCAATCAGCTGTAAAATAAATATCAAAATCTCATTTGATTCCACTGAGCTTCAGTGTGCTGCAGTTACATTGTAGAAAAATGCATAAGCACAACCACTGTGTAAGACTTTATGTATTGGATAATGTGAGAGGACACTGCGACCTTGAAATGTTTCTAAAGCTTTGCAAATAGAAATGTTAATATAAAGCAATAATTCAATAATTATACCTTTTAGTTTGCAGTCACAACAGCTAAATGGATGAGTTTCACAGCAACAGCATAAAGTTAAAAAGTTTTCTGATATTCACAGAAGGTTTAACACGTCTGTTGTTTTTAGTGTTCACTATAAAAACTCACCAGCAATAGGTGGTCCAAGCAGGCCTCCGCTGCTGCGTATAAGCATGAAGAACCCCAGTGCACTGCCGAGCCTCTGGATGCCCACAACCTCAGCCAGCACAGTGATGTGAATGGCAACCGTTGCACCATACACCAGCCCGTAAACTGCACTAAAAGCAACCAGCTCTGAAAACGAGGTAGCCAACGGGCATAGCAGTAACACCGTACCCAGCAGAATCACTGTAGCCGTCAGCTGCTGCACCTGGAAATGGGAAACAGTGCATCAGAGTGTTTCTCAGTTTCACACTAGAGTATCAATGCATTATTTACCTTTCCATAGATATTAAGTTGTAATGATTTACTTATTGTTTCACCCAACACCTACAATATTTCTTGCTCAACAGGCATATCTGTTTGATCTGTAATCCTGTTGATAAGAAGCACTTTGCTATCATGTGATTTTCAAAGTATGGTTCTATTACATTGAACGCACCGTCTCTATCAGTCTCAGGTTTGCCACCCAGCCAAAAAACACTCTTCCAAAGAGGTCCAGCACTGCAGAGATGGACATAAGAGCAGCTGCCTGGTACTCCTCGATCCCTTTACTGCGGGCGTAGGGAACCAGGAACAGAGCTGGGGCAAAGAAACCCAGAGCAGCAAACACCCCAAACATCGAGTAGATCATGAACTGAGCATTTGTAATGAGGGTATAATCTACATACAGAAGAATTTTGTTCTTTAGTTCAGTCCACTTAGTTCTGCTGGTTGATTCTTCAGTCATATTATGTTTGTCA